ATATTCTTAATGAAGCTTTGAGAAAGTATATTTAAATAGTATAATCGTTTCTTTTAGTATTTTTCTTTATTGAATTTTTTGCAACTTTCATACAATATAGTTTGATGGTATTTAGCTCCCTTTTCAATGGCTTACAATTTATTTTAAGTATTCTTATGTTAACTTCTAGATATTTTTCTTTATTTGTGTTATTCGTTGCAAATAACATCTTCGTAGTATCATCTATATATTCTTATATATCTATCTATATACATGTATATGGCCTATAGAGTCTGATATGTGTCCTTAAATGTCCTTCAGCATGGATCCATCCACTGGCCCCAACAAGAGTCCCTGTAAGACACTGTCTCTCCCCTTCCCCAGCAGCCATCAGTTGTCAAAAGATTCTTGGGTTGGGTTGGGATTTCTTACCTACTTCTCCATGTCTATGCTGGGATTTTATGTGGTTTGAGCTTGTATAGGAATTGTGCATGTAATTCTGAGTAACGTGGTGCTAATATTATAAATGTTTAGTCTTTGCTGCTGTGAAAATTATTGTCATTATAACACTGCTTTCAGATACACCTCTGAGTGAATTCATTCTTTTATAGCTTTGAGGAACGTCCTTCCTCTATTGGAGCCACGTATCCAGGGATGCTCTGCAGTGAGAACTCCAACGGTGCTGTCATCTTGGTATGTGACAATTCCTTGTCCCTGGTTTGTGACCATCTCTAGTTCCTGCTGTGTGACCATCTCTAGTTCCTGCTCTGTGACCATCTCTCGTTCCTGCTGTGTGACCATCTCTAGTTCCTGGTTTGTGATCACTCTCTAGTTCTTGCTGCGTGGCCATATCTAGTTTTCTCTATTTTCCTGTTTCAAAAAGTTCTAAGTAGTGGAGGGAGAGATGGTTCAGTGGTTAAGATCACTGACTGCTCCTGCAGAGGACCCAGGCTTGGTTCCCAGAACCCATGTAGCAGCTCATTCCCTGTAATTTCAGTCACAGGAGATCTAACATCTTCTTCTGGACTCTGTGGGCACTTGAACACACAGTGGTGTACTTATATGTATGCAGATAAAGCACTCATATACATAAGTAAAAATTCCTAAGTATTTTGAAGCACCAGTAAATATTTTTTTGGAATTTACTCATGTATTCATAGTTTTTATGTTACAAACTCATTATATCAAAACTGAACTGTGTATCATTGCTTTAAAAAGAGGATATTTGAAAGTTGAATTGGTATATCATTTGTTTTAAAAAAACTTTTTCTTTGTAGATCATATTTTAATATTTATGAACAATATTATTTTATTTATTAATGTTTATTATTTACTCACTATAAATCCTCTCATTAAATCCTGATTGTTATCCTTTTCTAATTATCGGTGTTCATCATATGCCTTTTATTCTTTGTGGGGGGGGTTACATGCATGTGGTCATGGGTGCACCCATGTGTACATGCATTTGGTGACAGGTCTGCGTGTGTGTGTACATGTACATGTGTAGGCCGGAGCTCCATTTCAGATGTTGCTCTTCAGGAGCCGTCCATCTTGTGTTCATTCACTGATTTTTTCTTTAACAATTCTTTTTTTTTGGTCTTTTTTTGAGACAGGGTCTCCCTGTAGCCCCAGCTGTCCTGGAACTCACTATGTAGACCAGGCTGGCCTTGAACTCACAGAGATCCACCTGACTCTGCCTCCCTAGTGCTGGAATTAAAGGCGTGCACCACCATGCCCAGCTTTAACAATTCTTTATACATGTGTGTATAATGCATTCCGATTGCGCTCAACCCCCGTTTACGTCCTGTCGCCCATCTTCATTTGGGTCCCTTTTCCATGTTCATGTCTTTTAGTTTTGTTTGGTGACCCACAGAATCGATCCAGGGCTGCTTGCGTCACCAGGGGTGTAGCACTATCCAATGGAGCCTGGTGGGCTCACTGTGGTGTGCATCCACAGGAACGCGCCCTCCTTTCCTAAAATCCATCAGTAACCACAAGCCCGGTCCAATCTTATGCAGGTCTAGGATAGGCGAGTGGAGGTGCTGTGCCCAGAAGACAGCACTCTGCAGGCCCTCTTGGTATCTCAGAAAGGCCTCTGCTACTCACACCCTCACTTTTGTGTGGTCAGAGGCCATGTCTATTCCTAGCAGAATTAGAATTACCTGAGCTACCTCACTTAGGACCCAGCACCAAGTGGCCATAAGACTGAGCTTCAAGCATCTTGTCTATTGAGACAATGTTGCTTATGGCCTGATTTGGCTGGGCTGACTTGCTGGTCAGTGAGTCCCAGGGATCTTCTTGTCCTTGTCTCTCTAGCACTAGGATTAAGTACACGTATTAGTCAGGGTTCTCTGAAGAAACAGATCCAGTAGAATGAATATATATAAGGATTTATTAGATTATATTATCCATATATATACATGTATACACACATATGGATTTATTAGATTAGTTTACAGGGTAGAATCTGAACAGTCCAACAATGGCTGCACCACACTGGAGAGGCTGACAATCTGGTAGTTGCTCAGTCCACGAGGCTGGATGTCTCGGTAGTCCCAGTCTGGCCAGGAAGGTCTGAAGGATTCTGGGAGATGTGCTGGGCTTCAGTCTATGTTGGAATCTGAAGAATTTGATCGCAGCAACATGAACTCAGCAGTGAGATAAAAGACAAGGGGCAAAGCAAGAGCCCCTTCTGCCATGGCCTTTTATACAGCTGCCATCAGAAGGTAATGCCCACCTTGGGGTGGGTCTTCCAGCTTCAAATGATCCAGTCAGGAAGGTCTCTCTCATTTTGGTTAATCCAGATCCAGTCAAGTTGACACCCAGGACATTACTAGTACACATTACAACTCCCAGATTTTTTTTTTTTTCCCCGTGAGTTCTGGGGAGTGAACACAGGTCCTTCTTATGTGACAAGCAGCTGAGTCATCTACACATCCCCATCATATGCTTTTTGTTAGATATTAATTCTGTTTTTTTTTATTTTAAGGCTACTATTGTTGACTTAGTTTCCTGTTGCTATGATAACATACACTGACAAAAGCAATTTAAGGAGAAAAGTCCATTATGGTGGGGAGCCTGAAGGACCCAGTCACTTTTTATCTTCAACAGGAAGCAGAGAAAGATGAATGCGGCTGCCCAGGACAGCCGCGCGGAGACTGATCCTCTTACGGTTAAGATGGATTTTCCCACATCAGTTAGTGTAATCAAGATAATCCTCCACAGGCATGCCCAGAGACCCATCTCCCAGGTGATTCTAGATCCTGCCACTTAGACAGTTAACGCTAACCATCACAACTGCATTATTGTATTAAACTCTGATTGTATGCTTGGGGAGAGCAGAGGGCTGTGGTAAGAAACAGCCACTTCATATTTATAGTCTCTTGTTTTCTGCAGGAGCACGACGAAGGGTTTACTACAGGCTTATTTTCTGTGTACAACCACGTTATATAAAAATTAGTGAAGTGAGGGGCTGGAGAGATAACTCAGTAGTTAAGAACACTGGTTGCTCTTGCAGAGGACCCAGGTTCAGTTCCCAGCACCCGCACGCACGGTGGTTAACAACCATCTGTGACTTCAGTTTCAGGGGATCTGATGCCCTCTTCTGACCTCCATGGGCATTGCATGCACTGCACATTTGCATCCATGCAGATAAAAAGCTCATACACACAAAATAAAAATAAAGAAAAAATTTTTCAAAATTAGAGAAGTGAGGTAAGTTGAGAATATTTCTGTGCTCAGGCATGTGCTGAGTTGTGGTGATGTAAGAAGCCATTATTGCCAGACTGAATAGGTTTAACCTTGCTTGAGAACTTTGTTGATCACTCTTGGAAAAGACATGCTGATTGATGGGGAAAGTGTAAAGCCATTTCCTAGGGGCATGCTCTATTTTCAGGTTTTTATACACGTATGTGTGTGTGTGTGTGTGTGTGTGTGTGTGTGTGTATCCTGTAATCTTGGAAAATTTGCATGCAACATCTGTTAGCTATATCATCCCCTTAGGTTTTCAATATTGATTTTGATGTCCTCTGTGGACAAACAGCATCTCTCTTTTTATTCCTTCTCCTCTCCCTCCCCTCCCCTCCCCTCTTCTTTCTTTCCTTTCTTTCTGTAACTTGCTTGGATCTCAAGGACAATGTTTACCGAAGGGACAAAGGAAAGACATCTTGCTATTTTCCTGAGTTTGGGGAGAAAATGCCCAATATTGCTCCATTAAATATGAAGCTGCTTCTAGGGTGAATGGTATCTGTACGGTTGTGTGGGTTGTGTATGTGTGTGAACTGTGCCTCTTTACCAGATGGAAATTTCCTTCAGTTCTTTGTTATGAATTAGTGCCATGAATGGCTTGAATATTGTCAAATGAATTTTCTCTTTTGAATGAGATAAGTATAATCCTTGTTTCTCTTTTCATTTAGTATAAATGACTTTAAACTAATCCCAATTTTGCATTCCTAAGGTAAACCTGACTTATGTTGTATGTCTTACTAGATTCAATTTGCTAATTTTGTCAAGTATTTATTGGTTTTATTTGTCTGTCTTGAGATTCCTTATCAAATTTTTGCATTCATATTACAGATGCCTCAGAAGAGGTTGGAAGCGTTCCTCCACCTCCTTTCTTATTTTCTGAAATAGTTTGCATGATGCTGATGTTATTTTTCATTAATAAAAATTATCAGTAAACAATTCAATAAGTTGTTGGGAAGTTTTGAAAAATCAATTTATTTTACAGTTATTGGCTATTCAATTTGTTTATGCCTTCTGTGGGTGCTGGCACGCTATTTTTAAGGAATGTGTCCATGTCATCTATATAATTGAATTGGCGAGTACAGGTGGCTCATAATACTTTGCACCCCGTGGTGATGTCTTCTTCTTCTTATCCTATTTTGGGTTGGTCTTCCTAGGGTTTACTAATTCTTTTAATTTTTAAAAAAATTTTAAATGACCTAATATGATTTACGTGTTTCAGTTGCTTCTTGCTTCATTGTTTTTTATTAATTTCTTTATTTAATTTAATATTTTCCATCCCTAGCTTCTAAAGGAAGAAACTTTGATGATGAATTTGTTAGAAACCTTTATAAGTGTTTCAAGCTATGAATGTTTTGTGTCAACTTTGGTGTATTCTAGATGTTTGATAGTTAATAACTAAGTCCACAGTATTTTCAAATTTTCCTTTTGAGTTATTACTTGGCATATGAGATTACATGTATGCTCTAAGTTTCTAAATATTTGTGTATTTTAATAATACTTTTTGCTGATATTTGTCATTTGATTTACTTATCGTATAATTTGGTTTACATAACATAGGATATACTATACGCTATCTTAATTCTATGCATTTGTAAGGAGATGTTATTCACCTTGTATATGATGGCTCTGGACATGAGGACGATGGACAGTCATCCTGTGCTTGGAGTCGTAGGTCCCAATTACTTGTATGTTGACTTGACTGCCCATGTTTCAGTTTGTTTGTATTTCCATTTTTCTATTATTGTTATTATTTTAAATGTATGTTGACATCTATTTTCAAGGCCAAAATCAAAGCCATATCAGTGAAATATTTTTTATAAGCACAAATGAGAAAATCTTAATTTGCTATAATTTACAGATTCTTTTATGGGAGAAATAATCTGGGATATACTATTATAAGTGAATTTAATAGGTATCTGATTTGTGAAATATTATGTAAACACAACCTGAACTCATATGAAAAAGGATAAAACCATTCTATAATTCCTCCAAAGAGACTTATTCAAATATCTCTTTAAATACTAAGCTACTAAGAGAGAAAAGGAATATAACTTTTATATAAAAAGTTCACAGAAGATCATCAAATACAGTTTCCCCACTGAAACACAGTAACTTGAAAATGTTGCTCACATGGCCTGCTGTTTCCCAAACTCGGCCTTTGTTTCACATGTGCGAGTCCTCCTTGGGACTCTCTTAGGACTGATTATTGATTGGACTTTTATTTTCCGGAAAATCTCTGATTTCAACCATTGGAACTTGTTCTCAACAAAGCCTGGGAAACCCAGATCCCAAAGTCTGAGAACTCATCAGTGGCTGATTTGTCATTGACTTCCGCTGCATGTCCTGCATCTCTTCTCTGGGTGACCCTTTTGGAGAAGTAATTTTGTTCCTTAGCAGAAGAATGGAACTGTCTTCCTTCTCTTGTGTCCATCTGACTTTCCCAGTGAAGAGCCCTGTACAACTCCCTCCACCCTCAGACACAGGAGTCGGGAGCCTGTCTTCTATGGTACATCACACTATTCCCTTTCCTTCTCATATGTGATTTTTCTTTCATGCCTACCACCCACTGAGCCGTCAGGCCCTGTCTTTGGTGGTTTTGCCTGTGTCTTCAGTAGGGCTCTTCTGGTACTTGTGGGTAGCTACACTTTCCTGAGTGCTTTGGACCTATGTCACATTTTGGTGGTTTCTTCTGAATCATTTTTCTTCCTAGTTTTTTGACTTCTTTCATTTTTGGTCACTGATAACCTTTTCTCACCCCGCTGCAACACCCGCATCATTATCCGAGCACAGTGCCCGCACAGCAACTGTTCTTGGAGCTATGCTTCAACTGCTTTTGTCTTATGTCTTGTAGGGTCTGGACAGCCGCTTCTATCCTATCTTTTTCCCCTTCCTCTCAGAGGAGGACGCATTGCTACTCCTTGCTAGTCCTTGCTTTTTCAGTTGTAGTGAAAACTGGCTCTTTGCATACTGATTTCAAGGTTGATGCCACCGTTCAGAGCAGGTTAATGCCTATACCGGTGCCTCGCCTCTGCCTGGTGCCCACTGTACTCTCTGAGTTTGCCTAGTTTAGATTCTTCCACAAAGGTGATGTTATATAGAATGTTTCCTCTGACTGAGTCCAGGTTCATCTATGCAGTTGCAAGTGGCAGGTTTTCTTTCTTTTGTATGACTGGTGGTTCAGGCCTATAGCACGGCTGCTTGTAAGGCTAAGGGAGCAGGATTGGCATTTCAGGCCAGCTTGGGTTGTAGAATGAGGTCAAGTCTCTCTTGGGTATGTTAGTGAGACGGTCTCAAGATAAAAACTAAGAACTGGTGAAACACAGGGCTGGAGAGATGGCTGCTTGTTGGTCAAGGGCACTGGCTAGTCTTACTGAGGACGTAGGTTTAGATCCAAGGACCCACATGGCAGCTATCAACTGTCTGTAACTACAGTTCTAGGAGATCTGACACCCTTTTCTGGGTCTGTGGGCATTGCATGCATGGGTGTACCTATGTACATGCAGGCAAAACACACGCATTAAAAAAAAAACGAAAAAAAAAAAGAAAAGAAAAAACACTTGACTAGCATGCATGAAGACCTATGTTCCCTATGCTCCCCCCATTCCTCCCCAAGCCTGAATGGTATTTGTGGGTGCGAATGGGTTTATGTGTATGAACTTGGAGGTTTTCTTTGTTCATAACACAATGAGCATGGAAGCACAGTGTTTCTTCACGAGCTTGAATGCGGCTCTAATGTAAATAGCCGATTGGTGGATTAGATGTCAGTTTTATTTTTATTTTCTGGAAAATCACCTTGAAGTTTCTCATAGTGGTCATATCAGTTTAAATTATCATCAGCAGTGTGCAAGGTTTTCCTTTTTTGTTAGCATGCCATCTTGTCCTGCACCAGGCATGGGGTGGTGGACATACACACAAACTCCTTCATTCGAAGCATCCTTCTTTAAAGATGGTGCCATTTTCTCACTGTGATTTCCTGCCAGTCAGGTCAGTGGACTGTGTGGTTTTATTTGTGGCTCTTTATTTTGTCCTCTTCACCTACATGTTTGATTTTGTAAAAGTACTATAAGTTTTTATTACTGTACCTTTGAATTACAATTGGAATCGAATATAGAAATGATAATAGCAATTTTGTTCTTTCTGCTTTAAATGGCTTTGGCTAATAAGAGTTTTTTGTGATATTGTATAAATTTTTGAATTTTTTTTCTGCTAGTAAAGAATGCCATTGAGATTTTGAAAGTGATTTTTTTTTTATTATTTTGAAAGTGATTTTTTGAGCTGAGGACCGAACCCAGGGCCTTGCGCTTGCTAGGTGAGCATCTACCACTGAGCTAAATCCCCAACCCTGAAAGTGATTTTTAAAGACTGCATGTAACTTTAGGTAATATCTTCACACACGTTTCCATAGCCCACTTAGAAATGATCCCGGAATCTCTGTTGTATTTAACCAACTAGAAGCAAGTCAAACCTAGCTCATGGAACAAAATGGATCTATAATATATAGATGATATATAGATAACATTAATATCAGGAAACCTTTGTGAGCAGGACCCATTATAGAAGTTCTTTACTTCAAAAGGAATGCAGATTTGGTTACTAAAAGACGAAAGGCATTGTGTTAAAAATACCTCGAGGCAGCAACACAATGAGGTGTTCAGGTCTGTTAAATTTCCTAAGGTAGCTAGAGTAGCATTAAGTAACAGTACTTTGAGATAAAATTCATTATGTTGACCCATCCTTGTTTAAAATCTATACTCAAAATGTTTGTCTACCTCTACTAGGATTGCATCTGCTTAGGCATCCTGAATGTGTTAATAAATCTTAAAAACGAATTGTATATATACTAATTTGCTAACTTTCCTTTTTTGGTTTATGTTTAGTATCCGAAAGGCTTATCCTTGGAGTCCTATAGTGTCATTGTTGTGCAGCTGCTGGGCCTGGGCCTGGGTTTGACTTATGATGATGCTGATGCCTGTTTCTGCTCAGGAGATGTTTGCACAATGACCCCCGAAGCAGTGTAAGGCAATCTTCTTTCTTTAAATGCACATGTATCTTTCCTCTTTGGGGTTAGTATACCATTTCTGTTAATCAAGTTAGAGTGATCGATGGCTCGATTTTTAATATTTGAGGAATTCTCGTACTGTTTTCCCAGTGGATACACTTAGTACAAACCTGCAGCGTCTTGTTTCTTTCCTAACCTCCCCAGCACTTATCCTTGTCTTTTTTCTTGTTTACTTTTTATTTGATATGTAATGTTGATTTATCGTTATGAGGTGCATTATTGTGTTTTGATTCTTGAACACACTGGATATTGATCAACTTTGAATAATGAGCATATGCATCACCTTCACCTTTAATTATTTCCTCGTGTTGTTGACATAATAAAGCCTGTTCTAATTGTTTTGAGATATAATAAGTTATTGTTACTATATTCACCCTGCTGTACCAGCAAGCATCAGAACATTCTTGTCTATCATACTGTTCCCATGGACTGAGGTCTTCCCGTACGCCCTTCTCTCCACTCTCCGTGTCCTCTGGTAAACACTGTTCTGCTGTCAATGTCCATGAGATCAACCCACATTCCACTTAGTGAGATAATGCCGCATTTTTCTTCCTGTGCCTGAATTCTTTCCCGACATGATGTCTTTCTTCTAAGTCTATCAATGTTGTGACAAACAGCAGGATTATGTACTTTTTTTTTGTGGCCAAATAGTACTGAGTTGCATAAACACATTTTCTTTTTAAAAATTTTTTTATTGAATTTTGGTGTATTTCATACAGAAAATCATCTTTATATCCCCTTCCCCATCGGCACCCTCCCACAGCTCCCCACCCCCACTGGAGTTCATACATTCTGTCAATTTGTGTTAAGGCCTATTATATAAAGCTAGTGTTCCAAGATGTCCCTCAGGGCAAGTTCATCCACCGGGGTTTAGCCAGCCTATCTAGAATTTCTCTCTTCAAGAAGATCAGCTCTTCCTCACCCAGCAGTAACCAGCTGCCAATAATTCTTCAACTAAGATTGGGGCCTGCTGTTCATTTCCACAGTTCTGTGCTGGGTTTTTGTCTGCCTAAGTTTGCATGGGTCTTGTGTGTGCTGACACCATTGCTGTAGGTTTGTATGAAAAGGGTCCCAGGTGCCTGTAGGACCATTTCCGTACGGTCATGCACCTCCTCCCTGGCTCTTACAGTCTTTCTGTCCCCTCTTCTGCAATGGTCCCTGAGCACTGGGTGGGTGGACCTCAATATAGGAGATCTGTCCAAGGACCCACCCTCTGTAGGCTTAGTCTCTATGTTTTGGCCATTTATGACCTTTTGTGTTCCTGGTCCTCTGTTGATGAGGGATCTTCATTGATGAGAACTGAAAGATGCATTAGAGTTCTCTTCATCCCTTGTTCTGTGTTCCATGAGCCTTAGGTATAGAGGTTGCATCCTAGATGTGCCACTTAGGCTTGGGAATTCACAGACAATCTCTGTGTGTGACCAGTTTTGGAGCTCTGTAATATTTTCTGTCTCTTAAAAAAAGAAGCTTCTTTGGTGATTGGGATACTCATCTATAAATTTAATGATCCATATTTTGTATATAGTAAAAAATTACATTTGTCTAGGGATATGAGAGCCTTGGGTTTCCTCTAAAATCTGTGGCCTCTCCAGGTATGTGTATTTGGCTGGGTTTACAGTTCCAGACATGAATATCCTCCCACGGAGTGGGCTTTAAGTCCAATTGGGTAGCAGTTGATTACCCCCAAGATAAAAGTGCCATTACTGCAACAGTGTCGCATGCCGTGCCGGTCATTGATGTGGTTTTTAGGCCTTGAAGCTGGGGTTGGACCGTGGATTGATGGTCTGTCTTACTAGCTGGGTAGTGCTCTCCACAGCTATGAGAGCTCGCCTTCAGGGGAGGTGCCTCCAGGTCAGTTCCAGCTCCATTGCCTCAAATCCTGTGTCTGAAGTACGTCCTGTCCTCAGCAGCAGGGTCTTGCACACGTTTTCTTTGCTCGTTGCTTGGTGAACGTTGAGGTTGATTCCACACCGCATCCACAGTGGAGGTGCTGCGGCAACAGCAGAGCCCAGGCGGTTTTCACTCCGTTTGCTTCCTTCCCTGCTCCCGGCTGTGGGAGTCCAGACCGCTCAGAGCCTTCCCCTCGGAAGCAGGCCGTGCTGTTCCCTTCAGTGACTGCACTGACTACGGTTCCATCACGGTGTCAGCAGAGCGTCTGATGCTTTCTCTTCTAGTGCTGCCAGCTTTTCTGGCGTTTTCCATTTGATCTTGGGAAGACGGAGCCTATCTGAGCTGTTTTTTCCTGTCACGTTCTGAGTTCTGAAAACAAGAATCCCGGGTCATCATCTTTTGAGGGGAAGAGGAGAAGGCGCCGAAGTCCTGGGTTAAGTCCTGTGCTGTTCTTCGGGTCCTGAGAAACGGCTTCTGCTCCAAGTCTTTGCAGCATTCTCCTCCGGGTGGTTCCTGCTGTTTTATGATTTTATGGCTGCACTCGGTGAGGAGCAGCAGGTACAGTAGGTACATGCTGTGCTGTCTTGATGAGATGTCTGTGACGGATTTTTATTTGAAAAGTTTAATTGTGTAGCCTATAAAATATACTGTTAAAGTTAGCATGTGTATATTGGCATTTATATAAAGAGTACAAGCTGGAATTAAATAAATTTAAAATGTACTGAACATCAAACCTGAAATTTCAGTGACTAGAAAGGTAATTAAGAACAAAAGTTCCTATGCACGCCTGTAACCCCAGCACTTGGGACACAGAGACAGGTGGATCTCTGTGAGTTCAAGGCTAGCCTGGTCTACATAGTGAATTTCAGGCCAGCTGGGGCCACAGGGAGACCCTGTCTCAAAAAAGACCAAGAAAAAAATGCTGATAAGGGAATACACACACACGCATGCACGCACGCACACACACACACATACACACACACACACACACACAAGTATTTGAGATTTGAGCATATGTGCATTTTGATGTCTAGGGGTGGAATTTGGGGATTCTGGGACCAGCACCTTGCAGCCACTGAGGGATGGTCACCTGCACCGAGTTCTACATAAACACAAATGTAAAAGAAGTTGTTGAAATACGTTGTGAGTTTTCACTTTTGCTTGGTAGAGTTATAAAAGTATGTTAAACATATTGACAACCCAACCAACGGGTTTAAGCGTACGATTACTGTTCTGTGTGAAGAATCTTGGTACTGAAAGATTTCTTCGAAGCATTGTGTTACAGGGATATAGGAATGCACAGCCATAGCTTTGATCACATTCGTATTTTCATATTGTAGGTACTCTGAGGGCACAAAGGATTTTAGTTCCTGCAGCTTAGATGACTTTAAATATTTTACATCCCACAACGACTTGCAATGTCTTCGGGACATTCCTGTAGAGAGGAGACGACCACCCCCGAAACCGCCGAGGTGGACGTGTGGGAACGGTGTGGTGGAAGGTAAAGAACAATGTGACTGTGGCACTCTGAAGGTTGGTAGGACTTCTTCCGAAATCTTCTCAGTTTCTTATATATAGTAAGAGAAAAATGAAAACTTTGTCTTTTAGTAAAATGGATTTGAAAGAGGCGTTTTTCTTCTGTGTCAACATAAACTTTTAAGCATCCTAATTTTTGTTTTGGAAGTTGGTACATTAGCTCTTTAAATGGTGCCTGTCTTTAAGGGCTGTCTGCTGGCACTATTTAATATCTGTGTTGGCTCAAAAATAATCCCACAAAGCCTGTCTTGAATTGTCAGAGCAATAAAGCTGGAAGGACAAAGAGGAGGAAAAGCCCAGAAGGACGTGGGGAGGACAGTATACACTGAAATGTGCTGCTGGCTGATGTGCTGGGAAAATTTGTTATACTGACAGGCGTTACCAATTTAAAAATTCTAGATAATAAAGCATGCGTTTGTAAGTCCTCTTGTGCAGTGCCTGTCAACAGATCTTCCTGTGATGACGGACATGTCTCTGTGCTGTCCACTTTGTGACTTACTGGTCGCATGTGGATGTAGACCACTTAGAATGTGATGCATGTGCCTGAGTAGCTGAGTTACTCATTTCATTTGATTCCAGTTAATTTAGACGTAGTTACACCTGGTTAGCGGTTACCCTGTCGGATGGTGCAGCTCTAGAATCGACAGTTTTCATAAGGAAAGATGGAATAGGAAGTAGGAGCAGCACCAAGCAAAGGCCACTACAACTGGAGCACACGTCTGAGTGTGTGCACAGTGCCAAGACCTTGGAGTGCTGGGACTGCCTGTAAATGGTGTCAGGTGATATCATCTGTTATAAAAAGCGAGACATGGAAACATTTAGAGAATAGCAGTTAAGAAGGCATCAGGTAGCTTTTCCTCTGGGTTTTGATTTCATAGTAATATTGTTAAATTGTATTGGACAAATTACCTTTGTCAAATGCTTAGACAAATTATTGAATTCAAGATGTTGGTTTCTACACATTTGGTGTTATTGAAGCTATGACTGTAAGAAAAACTGTGTGCTTTGTAACATCGTGTGCTGTAGTTTTATGTGATACTAGTCAATCATGTGTGATGACGTCCGACTTGTCATTTCTTTGCAGAACTGTACACACAAAAATTGCTGTGACCCTATGTCATGTAGATTAAAGCACAAGGCGATATGTGGTTCTGGAGAGTGCTGCGGACAGGACTGCACAGTAAGAGAACTCCGCACTGGACAGCCATATGTAACCAATTTCTTCAAGTACATGGTTCGAGGAGATGGAAAACATTAACCCACATTCCCTAGTTATGCTCTGAGATTCACACACAACTGAACTGTCCTCACACTGTGTTCATTAGTCTGTCATTTCCTCTACTCTCGTGTACACAATGTCTGATGCTTAATTCCCAGCTTGACTTTCTTTTTTTTTTTAAAAAAGATTTTGTGTGTGTGTGTGTGTGTGTGTGTCTGTGTTTTTGTCTGTGTCTGTCTCTGTATCTGTGTGTCTGTGTGTGGGTATATGCATGTGGTGGCCAGAGGCATTTGATCTAGAGTTTTAGTTAGTTACAGATGATTGTGAGTCACCTGATGTGGGTGCTGGAATCTGAATTCAGGTCCTCTGCAAAGGCAGTATGTGCTCTTAACCTCTAAGCCATCTCTCTAGCCCCCAATTTGACATTTTGTTTCTATAGGCAATTACAAGCTTTCTTATATGACTCTCAAAATTTCTCTACAATCAACACATCCCTGTAGTAATTAAGTTCATATTTTCCATGCCTCACTCACATTAAGGACAAGAAAGTAGATCAGTTACTTTTGGTTGGTAAATTCACTTTATTGTCTTCTGGTAAAGTCATTTGCTTTGCTGAAGTTTATTCAGTTAATGTTGCAAAAATCATTCTCTTTCTTGATATTAACAGTACTTAAAGAAATCGCAATTAATTGCTTACACCCCAGCATAATTTACTGGTATCCTAAGAAAAACTAATCCTGAATAAAGTAAAGAAAATGAAATTATAGACTGGAGGAAGACCATGCTTTCAGAATTAAGTTGAAATGGGATCCCAAATCAATGTCCAGAAAATTCCTTTCTTGAAAATATTGGCAACTTTGACGATTTGGAATTAAGATAGTGCCAGGATATGCATATGGAAAAATTAAGTAGAAGGGGAGTAAAGTGAAGTAGGACTACGGGTGATTTTCCAGTTTGAACACAAGATCAGCACAACCGTAGCAAATAGTAGAACTTTTGTACTTTGCGTTACTTATTGACATAGGAGAGAACTAGAAAACGGAGGCCAGGATAAGGACTGGAGGGAGGGGGACATCAGGGGTGTCACAGCAGTGAAAAACATTGGCAGCTCCTGGTTAGGCTGAACGGAGAAACTGCATTATTCTTGATTCCCTGACCTACAGATTCAAAACGAGAAGAACTGGTGCTGTGAAATGCAGGCTGGGCTTTGTAGCCCACAGGAAGTTGTAGTTAATTTTTACCTTAAAATTCATGATTCAGGATATGGAAATAGTTTACCCCACACTGTCTAGTGGAGGTTATTACAGACAGAATTTTGAAAACATTAGACATGCTAGTTTGGAAGTAATATTGAGGCAAAATAAATTTTCAGAATACAGTATCAAGTGAATCAAAGTATAATTTGGGAAGAGGAAGTGGGAGCAGCTCTCTGATTTTTCCTGTGCATTCCAGAAGCTGTGTGGTGTGGTGGAATCTCATGGGTCACTTCTAGGGATCATTTCTGAGTTACTGGAGTCCCTTTCAGAAAGTCCTGCTCTGTTCTTACACCATGAAGCAGTTTCCCTGTTTCCCTCCAGCAACTTCAGAGTTTTAGGATTTCATTGTGTTCGATGCACTTGGTGTTGATTTTTGTGAGGCTTAAATACAGGCTCTAGTTTCATGCTATATGTGCACATCTAGTTTCCCCAGGAACACTGGATGAAAAGGTTATCTTTTTTCCAATACATTTTTGGCGCCTTGGTTGAAAATTGGGTGGCTATTGATTTGTGGTTGTTTCTGAGTCTTTGGGGTGTTTTGGTCTATAGGCCCATGTCTGTGCCAATACCATGCTGTTTTGATTACTATGATTCTGCAGTATGGTTATTAGCCAGGTCTAGTGATATTTCCACCATTGATAGTTCTGTTCAGAATGTCTCTGGCTATTAAGTGTGCACCAGAATTCTATATGAATTTTAGGATTGTGTTTTCCAGTTGTGTGAAGAATGTCATTGAAAATGTGCTCACTATTATGTTGAAGCTGTAGATTACTCTTGATAGTGCAGCCGTTCTCAGAATATTAATCCTGGTGGTTTGTGAGCATGAGAGGCCGTTTCTTTTCTTTTGGTGTTTTCAGGTTATTCAAGTTGTGGCCTCAGTGTTTTAATCTCTTGTTTAGATTTTATTCTTAGGTTTTTAACATTTTTCTTTCATTTATTCCAGACTATTAATGGGGGTTTTGTGCTTCTGTATTTCTTTTTTTAAATTTGTGTTTATTGAATCTTTGTGTATTTCATCCAGAATATCTCAACCTTCATACCTCCACCCCCAACGGCACTCTCTCGTAGCCCCCCCCCCCCCCCCCCC